TAAACCAAATTTCCAAGATTTTTAAAGACCTCAATTGAATTATGACACATAGTAGTACGAACTTGTTTCATGCAGGAAGTAACGTTTACTTCATAAGCTCATTGCTAATCCCTTTATGCAGAAATGTAAATTTTTTCGGTGCTTCTTTCAGACAGTTCGGTTCATTATGGTGATGGATCTTCCATGTTTGGCCATTAATTGACCTCTGAAATAAGTCAGGCAGGGGTTTTCGACCTCTTCTATCAAATGAATAATATGCAAACCTGTCAGGATTTGCGTATATTATTGTGAACATTCACTGTGAAATTAAGTAACATTTGCGTTTGTGCTAAAGTTCTTCTCACCTTAGTTCTATATTTCCGAACACTGTGCTGAAGTTTTTGCAAGCTTTGTTTAGCCGGAAAGAATTTCTCGAACTTTTAGCTTCGTCTTTATACGAATCAGATCATTTTCATTCGCTTTCATTTCGAGTTATCGAGGTTCAACTGTATCATTAATTCTTTCAGATAGAAAAGTTTAAAATTGACGTGGTACAATGGCATATTTGCTCAATGTGTCCATTTTTAAAGTTTTCTGTGCTTTAAAATTTGAAAAATTTTCACATTTTTGCATAGTGAATAATTCACCTTCGATTGGGCTTAAAATGTACGTCCAGAATGCAGGGAAGGGAATGGAGGAGCTCTTGAAACCTTTTACCAATCCCCGTCATTTTCTGGTGATTATAAGACATCAGTTGATTTCATTGGTATCAACGAGACGCGCGGCTGCTCAGCACTCCGGAAATAATTTCCGTATTTTATGAGACTTTTTCGGGGCTCAAAAATGTTCGGATGAGGGAGAAATATGTGGATTGTTTTCGCGTTTTTCTTCCTTCTTCAGATTGGCGCTCTGTCACCTGGTTTGTGGAAACGTGGCAGTTTCACGAGAATGCCCCGGATTGCACGAAAGCGGAAGAAGTGGGTTCGGAAAGGCCGCTGAAGGTGCTTCTTGTGCGTTTTGGGCAGTGGCGGAACAACCGCACCGAGTATTTGTGTCCTCGCAAAAGGCATCATGGAACCCGCGGCATACAGGCATTTAGGGTGAGTCCCATCCCCCCCTTTTTTTCTAAAATCTTCCGTCCCATATTTCTCTCATTTGGAAAAATGAAATGTGATTCATGCGAAGAAAATCATGAAGCAATTTGCTGAAAGAAAAAAAAAAGTCACATTTTCCGAGCACAGCTCCAGAGTGCTTCATCATCATCGCGCGCTCGTATATATAAAAGAGATGTACCGGACCATTTCCCTTCCGAAGCGCTGGACGAATTGTCGTCATTGAGATGACATCAGGGTTTAATATTCTCCCCCTTTTTTCTTAGATACTGTGCCGTTGATGATGAATTTCATAATTAAATAACCTGTATGTTTAGAAGCAAAGTGTCCTACATCAGTGGTGTTTCTGAAGTCGTCAAGAATGTCCTGTCGAAATTAGTCAAGTGTTTCAAACTGACGATGATTGTGTGTGACAGTGTGCGTGATCCAGTTTCTTTTCTGATTTTACGTGGTCTATGGGAGGATGTTGCAAAACAATCCAATGGTAGAAGTGTTTAAAATGGAAAGTGGCAGTGTTTTAGGACTAAAAAACTACTGAACACTGGATTGTGAATTACAGCGGAAATAGAAATTGAAAATGTTGCAGGAACTGAAATGAAACAATTCTTTTTATTAATTGGCCCGTTCTTTTAATCATTTAGACAGTATCAAGAAAATATTAAACATTTCTTTAAAAAATATCATAAACGGTTCTTTATCGAGTTACACACTGATGTACAATACTTAAATTTCCTGATTTGGGGTAAAAATAACTAAGAAAATCTTGTGGCGATTTTAAGTTTATTTCAATTTTCGTTGAAAGTCTCTTGAAAAGCTGTCACAATATTAATCACTTTGCAAGCTGCTTGGATAAAATTTTATTTTAAAGCTTTTTAAAATAATTTCTCAAGACGATATTAATCCAAACGAGGCAACAATTTTCCGTCTTCTGTTGTCTTATTCATGTAAGAATGATTGATTTTTCGAGTTGAAAAAAAAAACCGAACTCATATAGGACCTAAAAAGTGTGTTGCAAATTTTTTTCAGGTTGAAAAAAGAAAATCTGACACCAAGTAATGCATCAAAAGCTGAAGTAGATTTTCTCAAAAATCCAGTGATGTCAGCTGATGTGTTATGCTGCATATTTTTTTCCTGCTTCTTGAGGCATTTCATTCCTCAAGAGCATGTTTGTTTGTTTTATGCCATACAGTATTTACAAGTTTGAAAATCTGTGTCAGCTTTTAGATTTCCTAATTTGATTTCAAATGAAATTTGTGATCCTGTCTAAAATCATGAGTCAAACTTTGAAGCATGTCCACGTAAATTTTGGCTGAGATTTGGTGAAAATTCAACGTTTTTTTGCGGCTAATTTCTCACGATCGGTCCTTTGAGGTTTTTCATCCACATTTTGCAAACAGCGTGGCTTTTTTTTCTATTCTTGAAAAAACCATTAGCTAGCTTAGCTGTCTTTTTTTTTCGTGTGACTCGACGCGTCTCGAAACCCAGGAAAAGAAAGTTGGAGACCTGAGTATTACTTTGTAGGGTCAATTGGCTTGTGTTCGGCGCAATCAATTTTACAACCCCTCCCACCATCCCTGCAACCGGGGGGTGGAAAATTTGGGAAGTGTTACTTTTTGACATCATAGTCAAGAAGTTGAGTCCTGTGTGATAAAAGTGAGAGAAAAGGAAAAGAAAAAGGGGGAACATTTTTTTATAAGGAAATCGGCGATTCCTCATCAAAGACGATAGTAGTGCTCGACGCAATCCCAGCACACAGGCATGCCCATCATCAGTACCTGTGGCTCATATGCCAGGAGCATAGGAACATATGCATACAATTAACAAGACCAAGTGAGTATTTTTTTTTACATTTTCCTCTTTTAATTTGAATGGAACCTCGATTTATCCAGACTTTTGACTAGTTTTCCTAGAATTCCATTGGAAAATCAAACGCTGCGCGTGTAGTCAGAAGTTTCGAAAATATTGGTGTTGAAAAATTAATTCCAACAATGGCCTGAGCTGATATTACCGAAAATGTATGAATAAAATTATTTCTCTGAATGCCCCAGAACTTGACAAGAAAATAATCAGTCTCCTATTTGAAATTGTTTTGCTTCTCATGAAATCAAATGCCGTTACCTGACGTACAGTATTTTCATTTCGGGCAACCTTTTTTTCTAACTTTCTGATGCTTCTAACTTTGAATGAATTTCCATAATACGAGTCGATCTGAAGGAAATGAAGCGTATTTAGTGGATTTTTGTTTCCTATTGTCGTCTGCTCGAATTTCGGCAATTTTCAATTAAATCCAGGATAATCGATTTTTGTCACAACAGAAATTTCACAAGTAATTTTTAATCTGCGGCAATATTTTTCAACCATCATATTTTGCTCGTTTTCGAGTTCTGTACTCTGTAACTAAGAGGAAATACGAGACTTGGGGATGGATTTAAGATTAAGAATACTGTGATCATGGCGATTTGAATATTTTTATTGGACTGGCTTACGAGTACGAAAATGATAATTATATTGGTGTATTCTAAAACATGATAAATCCATGGAAAGGGAATTTGTTCGCCGAATTTTACATGGGATTACGCAAGTTGAATAATTACTGGAGTGACCGGAAAATGCGCCTCATACTTACGAATAATTGAACATGAATGTCAAGAAAATGAGCTGGTGCTACATCCTTCATTATCTTCCGCTTGACAATTAAAAAAAAATTTCAAGGATCAAATGTGTATGTTGAAATGATTGTCTCAAAGAATTTTGATCAGAAAACATTGTTTATTTTCTTTCATCTTATCGATGTAGTGAAGTTTTTTTTCGTGAGAAAATGGTTGCTATACAGGACGGCAAAAAAATCGCATCAATGGTTGTCATGATTATTGCTAATCTTGCTTTGTACACATGGTAAATACAAAAGTCAGATCGAGAAAATTTTGAGTGACGGGATTGGCAATTTCATGGAGCCAAAAGGAGTTACAGTTTTCAGAGTGCCGAATGTCAATTACCGCGCTTATTAGTGATGTAGTGATCCTCAAAATGAAGGTGACTAGAATTTTCTCAATTTCCTAAAGAACATGCTCTCCAAGTTCAATTAAGTACTGTGTAATTCAATGGATTTCTGTTTCATTCCAATTTTCTTTGAGAACCTCGACCAAACCTCATTGAAACTAGATCAAAATTAAGGACACCTCTCGAACATTTATTGAGTGCTTTCAAATAATAACTTAACTCTCCAGCTTACTAAAAACGAAAATTGACAGTGCTGAAGAAGCGAGCTCTATCATAGCAAGCTCCGTTTCCTCAACGTCAAATAAGCTTCCGCAAAAACAATACTTAACGAACAAATTTTTGAAAAAATTAAACAATCCTTTTGATGCATCAAGTTTCGGTATTAATGCGTGCATGGTACAGAATCGATGAGATATTTATAAAATAGCATCTGCACTCTTTTTCAAATTTGATTGTGTATTACATAAAAATGTGAATCAATTAAATTTTTGCCATCATCTGAAATCTCTCTTACCCCGCCCGACGACGAAATCCAAAAATTGTTTTTCAATTATGGGATACGAGTAACATGATCGATAAAATCCTCTGAGGTCCTCGTATAAGTTCGGAAAATAAGCATACAAATGTTCTAGCAATTCGAGGGTTCACAGTTGAAATACCGTAGACAATGAAACATGACAAGTTTGAAACATTCATAAACTAACCCTTCTTATATGATTGAAATTAGAGGACAAACCCCCCTCAACAATTCATAGTTTGAACTTTGATTTTTTTGTCCAATTGTCGTCTGTATTTTGAATCTTGATTTCGACTCGTATTAGAAGGCAACCAAAAATGGGTCCGTGATTTAAAAAAAAGGATGAGATAACCTTTTTACGATAAAGGCCTCCTTAAAAAAAATAACCTCGTTTGAAGGCTCAATTTAAGTGGATCAGTATGTCGAGCAGTGCTTTAATGGACGAGATCATGCGATTTCATACGAATGTGTATCAAGGTATGAGTTTTAGATTTGAATAATTCTCTGAAAAGTGAGATAGCAGCACCAAGACCTGTTCAGATATAAGAAAAAAAATTTTCGAAGTCTGACGGCAGTTTTTTTTTATTTAATCACAACGCGATACAATTTGGTCCGTCTCCGATTTATTGATTCCCTCGTTCGGATAATTACTTGACGAGCATCACTGTGTGCGTGTGTGCTTCTATTATTTTTTCTCTCTCTCTCTTATTTCTATCGTCATATTCAGGCATTGGCCGTTTTTCCTGTTCGCACTTGTAACCCTGAGCTTGTGCTGGATGGCGAATCCGTGCGATGCCATGCCCAAGCACCACCCCATGCGCCACCGGTTCACCAAGATCCGGCGCCACGGGATGCAGCGCCAGCCTGCCAGAGCCGACAAGGCGACACGCTGCACCCACTACGACCACGACTACTTGCTGGTGCACCGAGACAACGCACTGGTGGCCAGCAGTCGGGCCAGCAGCCGGGTCAAGGCCAACGGCAACCTAGAGCTGCGCCAATGCGCCCTCTCTGCCGACTGCAACACGTCAGGTATGCATCCGTAACCCGTACGAAAGAGATCCAGTTACCTCATCGATATATACTATAGTACTCAAAATAATAATGATCTGACACATACCACCACTCGTGGTTATTTTTTTTCTTCTCGAATCTGCGTGTGTGCGGTGAAATTGGTGACCTGGGTTTTTCAATCAGTGGTACTTCATCGCACCACTGCTACAGTATTTATCATATCGTGGCAATTGTTGATGGGAGCTGGTATATGCGCAAGTCCAATAACTCCCCAGGTAAATCAAGAACAATGAAATAGAGTAACACTCCCCATGTGTTGTCACAAGCAAAATATTGCTCAATACAGTTTTCAAAAAAATGTAGACAATGACCAGAGCTGATGAAGGTGTCACCTCGCAATTCGACCCTAATCCGCGGCCAAACTAGGGTCGAATTGCGAGACACTTCATTAAAAAAAAAAAGCACCAGTACAAAAACGCAAAAAATTGGCCAAAGCAGTTCGAATTGCGGGAGATCGAATTGCGAGGCACCACCTATATTTCCAAAAAATTTGTAAGGAAAATACTTTTCCGAATATCTCATAGAACTTGACAAGAAAAGAGTCAGTGTCCTGTTTAAAATGGTCTTGCTTCTCATGAAATCAAATGTAGCCTTCGGTCATTTTTCAAATTTCCGATGCTCGTAACATCAGGGAATTTATTTTTATATCTTGAAGGGCCTTTTCAAAGCTAGTTTTTACCCCGCAGTTATTCTAAAGATTTTTACCCAAAAATTCAGATATTTTAAATTACTCTACTTCGAGTCAATAACCAACAGCACGTTTGAAGATCTTTCGAAGCGAATTTTTTCGTTCTGTCTTCGTTTTTAAAATATCAGTGTTGAGAACTTGTACTCAAAATTTTAAAATCAGTTCGCGGTTGTATGCTTTTATTTTCACACCACTTCGAACCCCGCTTATATTTAATCAAATCAAAGGACTGGAAGTTGTGTTTTGTTCTTAATCCTGCGCTACTTTGGTTTTATGGCGTCAACAATTTGAAATGTGCCCATCGTCAAAATTACCTTTGAAAAAAAATCACGTTAAAATTTTTTTCTATGTGCCTTTCCGAGGAAAGACCGGGAAAGGTGTACCTCGAAACAATTCGAAGATTTGGGAAAATATGCATTAAAAAAAGAAAAGATCGGCAGTCGAAGAGGTTTGGAACACTTTTTCAATGTTTATTTAGTCAGATTTCTTCAGAAGAAAATCAGTTGAAGAAACGACCATGCCCTTATTTCCTCTCTCTCTCTCTTCTTGAAAAAAAACGGAGTATCCTTTTTCAGTTTAAGTTTACCAGCTATCATTTCTCAACTTTCTGGAAATTCCCGAGGAAAATCAATTGGGAATCCGCTTTGTTTTGAAAGATCAGGTCTTCGTCGAAGCAATATTTTTCTCAGCCCCTGATTTTTTTGCTCGAAAAAAAAAAAAAAAACTCGAGTATCCTTTCATAAGAACTGGAAGCATGTTTGCCTAGACGACCCTTCTTCTTCAACAATTTCCGCCTTTATTTCACTGGAGACGATTCATATAATGGGGAAACTATTTTTAAAAATACTCTAAAACTGTCCTGCGAATTCTTTTCTCACTTAGTTGCTCTCATCGAGACTCGAGACGCATGTTTTCCTTGACTTTAAAGTCTATATACAGTATATATATACACCACGTCGCATCGTTTCAGCTTGTTTTCCATCCCGAGCATTTCATCGAAACAAAAACAAAGCATTGGCTTATCAGTTATGGGACTTATGGCTTACAATGCGGTAGCGAGAACAATATTTCACAACAACGTAGCTGCTGATTAGAAAGAAGAAAAAAACTTTCCTTCACGCAAGAAATTGGGGGAAAGCGCTAGAAAAAGTCTACTCAATGTCACAAAGGTCAGCAGTAATCTGTAAAATTCCGTGTTTTTCAGCTGATATATGAATAGCGATATTACAATCATAGTAGTCACTGAAGTTGATTCTCGTAAAGCATGGGTAATACAAAACTTTAGTGTAGATTGTCGAATGAAAAGTAGGAGAAAAATAGTACTGATTTTCACTTCATCTTCGATTCCTCGTCAGCATCGTCAAATAATTTGCATTTTTCTACCCCAAACCAGAAAATTTCGCCTCACGATTATGTCCTCCAAACGAAATATCAATGTACAATATTGTACTTGAGTTTACTTCTCTAATGGCGTGTTGAAATTTTATAATCTGGAAAAAAATTTGAAAAATTTTGAGAAATTGGTAATCGAAAATGTTGCCGGTTGCATTGTTGGTCCGACATTATAATACTTTATTTGAAATGCTACTGTTTTTTTTTTCTACAGCTTCTCATTAGAATCAGAACATTGAACCCGATCGACGAAATGTCTGCACTTTCGTCAGGATTATTAAAAAATATCTACCTCGATTCAAAATGAAATAAAT